ACCACAAGCTAGTGAGAAACCGAATTCACAGCAATGCAAGTGAGCTGATGACTAGGACCATTTAGTTATTTTCAGTTAACATACCATGCCTTTGGGATCCTTCGAGCTATAACATTGTGATCTAGATAATCTAGATGCGATCATCATCACTCTTTTCTGGTTTCTTCAAGGGGATTTTGTTCCATCGTCCTATGATTTTCCAGGATGTCCTCTACCTGAATTTCATCGAGTATAAATCCATTAGTTGGTGAAAAGGTAACGGATAGCATTTGTGGGCTTCTATCCAGAAGGAGCTACTCACTAATAAGCCATTCCATACCACATTCTTTGATTCCTCCCTTGGAATAATCCTGGTAGCGAGCATTTCAACTTTAAATCGTATATAGTAACTCCTAAAGGATTCTCTTTCTTCCTGCTTGATGTTACTTAAGTCCTTGTAGTTGATTGTTCTATTCCCAAACATGCTTGTTAATGAGGAAGCCAGTCATTGGGTATATATGTCGATAGCTGATACATCACATTTCTCTTTTCATACTACTCCACTACGAATTAACCTTTAGGTCTTTTATACAAACAAACATGTAGGAACTGCTGTAATTCCCCACTCTCTGATTTTTCCTTTGGCTTCACTTCCAATCATGACAGTTTACCTTGCTCGTCAACCTATCTATGGAAGATTTGCTGATTTGGAATTTTTTCCACTTTCCTGTCGAAGCAATATCATAATTTTGTGACGTTCATAAATCTTTATTGCTTTTAGAGAAAAAACGAGTGTCAAATGTTAGTTTTATCCTGCTATCCTTATGTGGCTAACTTGTCTTTGGATTCTCATACAGATATGCATTGTTCACTGTCAATACCTTTTGCTTTTTGGCCATTTCCTGAATCGCCTCTACATTATGCACTGATTTCTACTGACAATGGCATTGGATAGGAAAAATATTAGCTTGAGATCATGTCAACATCCGCTTATTTTTTTTTTATTAACATCACTTTTGATAGAATCATTGCTAGTCTCTTCCGTATCAACTTTTAACTCTTTGGTTACCTCTGGATCTGCTTCCACTCTATCTATTCTTTCGGATCTTAAAGGCTTTTCAATTCTGACAGAGAAGTTTGTGGTTTTCGTTGTTTGAGATTTCCACAGAAGACGCCAATTTGTTGACAATACAAATATGATCAACGATATTATTGATTAAATAATTATAATCGATTGATAATACAAATATAATCAACAAATCCCATCATCTAACTATGACTTTCATTTAGAGGTGTCAATATGAGC